AGCTTAAAGCTTATTGAGAGGAATTGTGACTTTATGAATAACAAGTGCTGCCAGAGAAGTGAATCCATATATCAAATATTAACTTAATTCCTGTATCATGAGGCCACACAACTTCAATGTGATGATTATTAAAGTGATGATCTGAAGTCTTGACAGATGAAGCATGAAAACTATTTGTAGTCTTCCACTAAATCTGTATTCTGGTGACTGAGAAAAACTCCTTTATTTGAGACGGATTGGCTCAGAAATCAAGGCTGAGCAGCTAAATTGTCTCAGAATTAAAGCCTCACTTTTAATCTTGCATGTAAAAAAGAAAAACGAGTAATATGTAGGTGAAGCTATAATTGTTGGGGACTGAGAGCAAACTGTATCACTACATTTTCTTGTATCTGTGTTTGTGCTGCAGCCGCCTGCTGTCGTTTGCTTTGCAGGCGAGGCCCAGCTCTTCTTGAATAAACCTGGTTCGACATGTCACAGCGGGATGAGCTCAAGTGTAAATAGTGAAATGAATGAATTCCATTCAGCTGCTTCGGTGTCAGGGTCGTGGTATTCTGCATGCTTTGGTGAGAAGCCGCCGGTCCTGTTTCTGATGACATATGGAATTTTTCTTACGGCGAAAATGTCTGCTGTGAAGACGGTCTAGTAGAAAAACATTCTCACACATCCTGTTAGTTTACTAGTAAATATACTGAACAAAAAAATAAAGGCAGCACGTCATATTTTATTGAATTTGATCCGTTCTCGAGCACTATGTTGGAAATGATAACGGACAGATTGCATCGTGTGACACGGAGCGTTAATGAGGCTGTTTGTGGGATGTTGTGAACCTCTTCCTGCAGGGCTCGGCGAAGTTGGTGGACATTTTAATCCATCCAGAATATCCTGAAGATGTTAGGAACGTTTGGAGGCGATGGTGGGACTGAAGCGTTATCAGCTATGGAAAGGAAGTGCGGCTTCTGGTTAGGATTCATGTTGTCTTGTTGAAATGTCAAATGATGGCGGTGCATGAACGGGATAACCACTGGTGTGAGGATTTCATATCGGTATCACAGGGCGTTGCCTTTGATGAAATGCAGACGTGTTGGTGGTAAATCCCTGCACATATCTGGGCGGCTCAGGTGGTAGAGCGGGTTCGATCCCCCGCCCCTCCACAGTCGAAGCGTCCATGGGCAAAACACTGAACCCACATGGCAATGGCAGGCAGCAGCTTGCATGGCAGCTCTGTCACCATTGGTGTGCATATATAAGTGCAGACCATTTACCATTTACATATCATTACTTCTCTGCCTCCACTGGGCTTTGTGTTCTGAAATACATCTGCTCTGTGCAGTTGACAACAAGATCCATCAGTGAACAAACACTGTCCTCTGTATCGCTATCGTTGTTGCCCAGTTGATCCGACTGTGACATGTTTCTGTCATCAGGTCAAGGCCTTGATGTGAGCGATGAGATGGCGAACCAGCTTCTCCTCAGGCAAATCCTCACAGACACTCTCTGCAGTCTGTGCAGCCGATCGCAAACAATTTCACAGATGGAGGAGAACGATGTGGCGCTCTGGAGCTGGTTTCTGAAACGATGTCTTAGATGACAAACGGTGGACGTTTGACTTCCTGGCTCTAACTAACTGACACACCAGCTTCCAGCGACCTGTTCTCATCTTTCTCTTGTGCATCGTGCCATTTAACTGGAGCCGCATTTTAAGGGTGTTTAATCGTCACCGGTCTGAGGAGCGTCTGCTCACACTATCCTGTCGTCCTTTAAAACCAAACGTTACTCGAATGTGGATTAACTCAGTGGTGCAGAATCTATCATCTGCTGAACAGCTCTAAAACTTTTGTGCACAATTGGCTAAATTTAACCCTTTCCTCAACATTACAATCAACATATTTTCCTCCAAGGCAAAGGAGAGGACCATCTGCATGCTGCATTTATATTTTTGTTCAATTTCTATGTGGGTGGTGAACATTTTTTAACATTTCACTTGAGAAAAATTGATGGTTTCGATTCAGCGTTGGTGTTACTCTTCCATTATCCCGCAGTAATGAATTTAAATAAGCTGAATTGTTGTGTTTTATTTGTCAGAAAGCTGATTTTTCTGCATGTTTGGGCTGTGACTGAGCAGAGTTCATAGTTCACCCAGCGTTTTCTTCTGCAGAGTAACACTGAGGGGGAGGAGGAAGAGGAGGAGGAGGATGGTGCCGTGTCGGAGGTGTGAGGAAGATTTTAAGAATATGTGCAGAAGGAAAGCGTCTGAGGTTAGCTGCTCACACCTACACACAGAATGAAGCAGCAAACCTTGATATCCACCTACACGACGACTACACATCCAGTCTGGACTCTTTCTCTGCTTCTCTGTCATCTGCATCGCACGAAAACATTTCCTGATGTAATTAGCACATTTCCAACCATCCCGTTACTCATGCACGACCGTTGCCAACCAGTGGCTCTCATTATCTGTGGGAGGTTAATTGACACAGGATGACCCCTCGCTGATGCTGCAGCACTCGCCACTTAGCCGAGCTGTCGCTGCTCGCCGAGCCCACATCACAGCAGCCCTGTCCTCAAAAACACAACATTCTTTGATTTATCTCTCTCTTTCCATCTCTCTGCTCAGCCCACTCTGTCCTCTTTATCTGCCTCTTCATCGCTCTCTAGCTCCCTTTCAGCTGATGGAGCTTATTGTGGACAAATAGGCTTAGGAGCATCACTATGGCAACGGCGAATCGTAAAAAGCTACATAAGCACTTCATCAGGGGCCGTGATCCAATGGCTCCCGTTGGAGATGGTGCCCCCAGCCTCCCGCAACAAGTAAAGGCAGGCCAGCGAGGCTCCTGGGAGGAGGAGGAGAGAGAGGTGGAGATAATTCTGTGAGAGGACGGGAGAGGAAGGAGAGAGAAACCATTTCTCTCCTCTCCTCTCTCTCTGCTTATCTTTCACACAGTCTTGTCTCTCAGAGCATCCGACCGGCTTCCTGCTGTCTGACGACTTCTTTTGTAATTTTGCTCTTCAGCGATTTTGCATCTTGTGGAGTTTAAGACAAACTTAAGAAAAGAAAAGGAGGTAAGAAAAGATATATATATATTATATGTTTATTCTCAATTTAAACACAGAAAAAACTGTTTCAAATTGCCCTTTCAAAATAAAGCAAGTAATCAGCAGACAAACTTGAGATTAAAATTATTTTTAACATAATGACATTTTAAAAGAATGATTAAGGTAATAAATGTAGTTTTCTTATGCATTAATTTCTGATATCAAGAACAGAGAAGAGAACAACAGGCCTGTTCCTGGTGTAGAGTTGCAATAATTACTTAATTTGAATATTTGTTAGACAGAAAATTAAATGATAACTACTGATAATCAAACACTGAAGTCATTTATTAGAGGAAACATGTAATAACCACTAAAGATTACACGTTATTAAGTGTGAGTATGTGCTGATTTTTAAAACAAATGATTTGACAGTAAAGTCTACAGTGTGTATTTGTTGAGAAGAAGACATCTGATGAACTCAAGAAGCTGTGCCAAATATTTCTCTCTTTTTTGATGTTTTACAGGCTGATTAGTGCTAAAATTGAAAAATGATTGAGAGCTCAATTGATAATGGACATTATTATGAGGTGCACCACACCTCTATTTATTTATTGTACTTATTTGTTCCTTCTGTGAAAAATACAAAACATTCGGCAACAAAACTACACATTTAAACACATTTTAGTTCATCTAACAACAAGCAGCGCTTCTCAAATGACTGTTTTGGCTCCATTTTCACAAGCTTAGCCACCACAGAGTTGAACTGTTGAGGACACAGAAAAACAGGTCTGCCACTAATCTCACCCTGTGGCTGGGCTGTGAAACCTTCTCATGTTGTTAATCTGGGCCACAGCACCACAACAGACGCACTTTACAGCAGCTGAGTAACACGAAGCAGCTGCGGTTTGGAGGACGCAAGGATTAACCGACGATCTAATGAGAGGACAGTTTAATTAAAAGCCAAACTAATAATAAAACCATTACTTATTAAATGGAGATACTGACTATAACGTGTGTGCAGGTGCAACATAGAAAGTGTGTTTCTTAAGCTTTCTAAAACTGTGCTCCTGAAACACTTCTGAGGTGGTCGTGGTTTTTATTATCTTCACTATCAGTTCACTTTTCGATTATTTTCTCAATCTAACATAACAGAAAATATCAAAAAATTTAAAAATATCCACTCAGTTCTTCAGTTTGCTTGTCTTTGAATAGTCCACACTCTGATGTTGTTCAATTCGGGCCTTCAAATAAGGAATATTTTCATCACTGATTAATCTGGCAGCTCTTTTCTCAATAATCATGATGAAAAAATGCTCTATGAAGTAAAATATCTTGTTTGGTTTGACCAACAGTCCAGCACACAAAAATATATGAATCCCTCAGTGATACATAACAAAGAAAAGCAGCGAAGCGTCACACGTGAGGAGAACGAGACAAGGTGTGGCTTTTTTTCTTCTCACTTGTGGATCCACTAATCAACCAAACATCACAGCTTACTTTCACAAATGACAAAAAAAGCAGCAAATATTCACACCTTGTGAAAGCTAATTAAACCCTGTAATTCTAATTATCGACTCACAATACATGAATCGGTGTTGCGTTTTCTTTTTTTGTACTTTCACCAAAAAACAAAACATGCAAACAAAAGACTCACCGTCGGTCGGCGTGAATGCAGCATCTGTGGGAGCAGATATGCCACCTGTGGAACAAAGAGGCGATGGAGGATGAGATGAAGGACGCTCTCTTTGGGGAATATGTCCAGATGTGGAACACACTTCAGAGGGCGTGATGTTTTAATTGATGCAAAATTATGCAGCGCTCATGTTTTCTCTGTGGCAAACGGACACAAACCGCATACAGACGATGTGTCACTGCACCAGAAAGGAAGAAACAGTGACGGACATATTCAGTTTAATTTCTGTAGCAGCAGCTCTCACAGCACAAGTCATCTCAGGGCACACTGAGGTCAAAACTTTAAACGAATACATGACACGGCAAATCCAATGATCTCGTTAAGCTAACACCACCAGTGGAAAGAACAAAACCTTTTCAGGAAATTACATGTTGAATGTAACAGCCTGCAGCAGGTCAGCGCTGTGCTCTTTGCTTTGTTGTATAGCTTCACATTTCAGGCACACAGTCTTGCAAAAATCCACTTTAAAATCAATTATTCTGAGCAAACATTTCAGCATCTTGGCAGTGTCATATTCTGATGTTCCACCTACAGTCCTGTCTCTGAGTCGACTCCCTCTGCTTGTCTCTCTGTCATCAGGGGACGGTGACGGAGGACAGGGCCATGGCCTCCTGGTTCAACTGGAATGAGCCTTATTACAGAACGCCCCGCCGGGACCCGTCCGACGTGGTCACCGACACCCTGATGGTGGAGTTCAGCTGGCAGATGAAGGAGGCCGAGAGGCTGCAGAGGGAGAGGGAGAACGAGTACCGACGCCTGAAGACCGGCGTGGACTACAGCTGGCTGGCCAGCACGCCTCGCTCCTCCTTCAGCATCAGCACCGGGGAGCGCCTGGGCCTGGAGGACCTCTGCTCCAAGGTGCCGCCATCCTGCTGTGGCCTCGTCATACTCAAGTAAGGAGGAGCAAAAAACTGACGGAGGTTACATTTTAGATAACCTATATGGACTTTACTGGTTACTAAGTGCTAGTATTTAATAATTATCCTCCACTGCATTTATCTGGTTGGTGCAGTCACTTAGCTAGCTTCTATGCTAGCTAGTTTAATGTTAGGCTTTGAGCAGGGTTAATACTTTGAGCTAGATGCTAACATCAATAAGGGAACAAGCACAGAACATGGATGCATTACTGTTATAATGCTCAGTCTTCATTGCAGGAACTTGCAGGCTGTTTTAAGGCAGCCAGAACAGCAAAAAAACACCTGAGTAGAGCCTCCATAAGGGTAATTTTCCAGGAGTATCTAGTCCAGGAAAGGTATTGCTGAATGGCCCTGAAAAACTGTTGTGCAGGTCTTGATGCTGATTGGTTGAACTCAGAGAAGACAGCAAGCGTACAAAGGTTCATGCCACCCTAAAATATAAAATAACCTGCAAGTTCCTGCAGTGGAAAACAGCCAATAGTCAACGGGCAGCTTTCCACTGCAAGAATTCAGGGCAGGTGCGAGGTGTGAATGTCCTCCCCAGAACATTGACAAAACAATTGCATCTTTTATCGCAGTTGGTAAAAACCCAAGATTTGGTAAACCTGTGCTCTAAAGACGAAGATCTGCTGAAGTTGGGTTTGGTTTTCATCCAACTTCATGTCCAGTTACTGGTTCAACAGCAGTTAGAAGGCAATATTCCACCACTAATTTCTGAATGTAAACTAGTCTGTTCTCCACCACCTTTAATGCTGCTTTCAGATTTGCAGTCAGTACGGGATGACAGTCCTGAACTCTCACACACCTCTTGAAGACGGTAACGTTATGTCGATGCGCAGAGATTCTGTTTTCAAGACTAAAGTCGTCTGAACTTGTAGCTGAGTTGAGCGATGAATCAGTGACTCGTCCTCCAGCTCACGCCACAGTCTGATCCAGCTCAGACCGACACATAGAGCTTATCAGTGCGATGCTTGTTTGGCAGCCGTCCACCATCACGTTAGCTCAGAGCGAGCCTGCTGCTCTGCTGACCCTGCAGGCCTTTTGCATATGTTCTGGTGTTGCTCAAAGCTTAAAAAGTATTGGTCAGCAGTTTACAAATCTATTTCAGATGGGTTAAATGGCTGAATTGATGCTAGCAATTTTCAATGCGCACAGTCTCACTCCACAGTGTCTTGACATTATCGCTTTCCTAATGATCCTGGCCAACTGAAGGACACCACTATTCTGGAAATCTACCCTCCGCCTCCACACATTGTATGACTTAGTGACACTGTGTACTTCCTCCAGCTGGAGAAAATCTACTTTACAGTCAAAGGGTCAACAAGTCAGTGGTGACAACTGTTCCTGACATATTTTAAGAACTCCGAACTCCGAATTGCTAATATCTATTTTGACCACAAGTCTTTTTGGAACTCGAGGGACGAACAAAAACCGTGTCTTAGTAAGTTGTTAGGTCACCACGTGCTGCCAGAACAGCTTTAGTGCTTCTTGGTACTGATTCTCCAAATCTCTAAAGCTCTCCTGAAGGGATGAACACCCTCCCTCCAAAAGATATTTGCTCATTTGGTGTTTTTCAATGATGCCACTGCTAACAAATTGGTCCAAAATTCCCCAAATATGTTGGGTCATATCTGGTGACTGTGAAGACCATCAGGGACCCGTTGTGTTGGAACATTGTTGTACCAGAAGAGACGACTGTCATCAGCATAGAGAATAAAGGTGATCCCTCAGAACAGCTTTGTACAGATTTGAGGTGACCCTTACCTCTAAAGGGACAACTAGAACCGAACCATGTCAGCAAAATGCCCCCTACAGCATAACAGAGACACTGGATCCCCTCATTGTAGGTGTCGAAAGGATGAATCATCTGACTATATCATGTTTATTCACATCCCTGCAGACCAGTGCCTCTGGGTTGTTTCACCACTCTTAACTTATTCATCTTCGTAATTAAGGATTCATGTGCAACCTGCTATAATATTGCTGTCTAATTGCTGCCTGATCACGTTCTGCATTGATATTCTCAGTCACTTGAGGAAGAGCTGCTCCAACCCTGTGAGCTGATGTCTTTCTCATAGATCTAAATGCAGATGTCACTTTAGTCACAGTTTCTCTTTGAACACCTGCCAGCTGAGCGGTCTCTCCGACTCAAGCTTCTGCCATCTGTGCCCCGATAATGAACCTTCTTTCAGCGTCACTTAGATCATGACACAAAATCAGAACCAGCTGGGTCCGCTCAGCTCAGACTGGATGTTAATTACTTAATTGTACAGCAGCTACGTTTGCTGCGTCGCTCCGCTCATTTACTTTGACTTTAACTGGTCACCTGTCTCCTATATACTGGTAGCAGACATTAACAGCGTTTTTAGCAAATGATTTGCTTCCTAGTCAGTTCAGTGGTCTTTGAAAGTGAACGTAGCTGTTGTTTGTGTCTTTACATGATGATATTTTGTCAGTGTTTGTCGATTAAGGCAGCTGTGATCTACGGTAGTGAGTAAAAAGCAGCAGCTCAATAACTACTGGCAGCTGCAGCCTTGAACACTCGTAAACATGGCGATCGTTTCCATCAATACCTTCTTTGTCATGATAAATAAAAGCGGTATTTTAAGCCGCTTGGTTTACAGATGTCTTAAACTTTTGGTTAATTGCGTTCGTTAAAAGACACACAGAAATAATCATACCGAATAAACAGTAAGTCAGTCACATGACATAATGTAAAGAAAGGCTTCGTTCTAAATCGACGTTTTAAGAAATTAAAATAGCTACGAATATGAGTTGAGTTTTGAATGAGATTATCCTAATGCTGGAACAAAACAGCAGCAGTTTTTCTTATCCATCTCATCTCCAGATGTAGCCACACAGGCTGTCAGATGAGCTCCAGTACATCTTCATCGATACCACCTACCTAATGTGTTATACTAACTTGATTTTAAACTATTATAAATGTTGCTTCAGTTAATTTTCACACAATGCAAGAGTCTGTGTTCTGCTCAGTTTGGTAAACGTTGTATTAGCGCTGCTATTTGCAGAACCTGGAGGTTTCATCCACGTATCCAATACATTTAACACATCCCATCCATCCATCATCTACACACCGCTTAATCCTCACCAGGGTCGTGGGGGGCTGGAGTCTATCCCAGCTGGCTCAGGGTGAAGGCAGGTTCACCTGGACAGGTAACCAGTCTATCACAGGGCTACACTTAGAGACAGACAACCAAGCACACTCACATTCACACCTACGGACAATTTACAATCACCAATTAACCTCAGCATGTTTCTGGACTGTGGGAGGAAGCCGGAGAACCCGGAGAGAACCCACGCTGCACGGGGAGAACATGGAGACTCCACGCAGAAAGATCCCGGGTGTCCTCACCGGGAAGGAACCGGCGACCGTCTAGCTGCGAGGCAACAGTGCTAACCACCAAGCCACTTTGTAGCCCTTAATTTAACATTTTAATGGATTTTTTTTTTGCTTCAGATCACTGCCAAGTCTTTAATGCATTTGTGTTCATATACTTTCAAGCCACACTTGAATACTGTCCTCGACTTCTTCAGGGAAGCTGCTCAGCTGACCAACTTCTCTGCCGTCCTACACATGACTCCATAATGCTTCAGCGTCTCCGTCCTTTAATCTGCGCCGAGGACATCCTGAGCTCGTCTTAGCATCTGTTCGTAGAAAGCTGCCGAGGTCTCGGGTGTCTTGTTAGAGTCTGACAGCGTTAATGTAAGTGAGCAGTGAGGTGCTAAATGCTAAGTGGAATTCATCAACACAACAGGGACCAAGTGGAGCGTGTTTTTGTGATTTTAATTAGCCGCATGTGGGTGGAGACCTCACTTGTTAGATTTACGGTGGAGTGTAATTAACTCCTTTCTGAGACACTTAGGAGAGAATTAGATTCTTTGTTTTTTTGTTTATTGTTTGTTTGGATCCCCATCGATGTGCAAAAAGTGACTGTTGGGCTTCCTGGGTCTTTGATTACAAAACAGATGATAATGAATCAAGGAAATAATATAATTATAATAATAGTAATAATAATAAAGTATTATGCCAAAAGAAATTTTAAAAAATGTTGCTGCGTCTACTCATATACCTATATTTTTTAAATATATTTTTCTTTATAGTATCTTTTCAGGGTTATTTTTTCCTGTAGTTTCTCATCACATGCTGATTTATTTACTCACATTTTACATTAATGTCTTTAAAGGCGCCGTTAGCAATGTTTGCATTCATTCACTTTAAAGTTTCAGGATAACTCATTTGCAAACTTTGAGGTTATTCAAGGACTGAGCATTTGGGATTTCTAAGCTTTTACTGATTAAAGTAAGGACTGTTTGAGGATTGTAAATAAATGTTTTACACCAGAAGACATACATAAACATCCTACCTCAAGATCTACGATTTGCCTTTTCCAGAGCTTTTAACTGCATCTTGTTGCCTTCTCGAGCACGTGGGTTTGCTTCTATAAGAAACGAGGCTGTGAAACTACAGTTTTATCTCCAGTCTGTGACTTTTGCCATCATCTAGTGTTAATTCTTTAATTAAACACAAAAGATGTGTGAATCAGTTTGGGATGTTTCAGTCCTGTATTTTGTATTTTGGACAGTGAGGCTAAGTTTCCATTTTTTCTTTCTTTAATAAAGAGTAGCTCCACTTTCTCCACACAGCCTAACACAAATAACAACGAATGCAAAAATATACACAAGAACAAACAGACTTGGCTTTCATCTGTCCTCTGCGCCTGCATGTTGCAGCAGTGGTCTGAGTGAAGGGAAGGCCAATCATCAGCTAACTGGACACACTTACTGGGAGGCAGGTTCCCAGACCGATTCTATTTAAAGGCTTGTTAAGGCCTCAGCCACCTCTTGTTAGGAAGACGAGGACGGGTAATTGGGAAATTGGCAGGAGTCTGCTGGTCATGCACGTGGGGGGGCTGATGACTATGATCCGGGCCGCCTCCTCTAACCATCATGTGGATGTTTGTCTGTGCAAAGGCCAAAACCTTGAAAAATGTTATTAGTTTGACCCACCTGCCTGGGAACACACGCTGGCCGGCATTAGAGGGACGCTGTGGACGTGTTGACATCCGGGTGGTTAATTGTTATGCTTATGGCATTAGACTGCCTCCTGAACAAACGCTCCTGCAACGTTTTTGAGAAACTTAGCTGCTTTGTTAACATCAAAACATGTAAATTATAAATTACGAGCCAAACAAACACAACAAACTGGTACACAGTGATGACCAGTACAGTAAAACCACTGCTCTTCCTTCACTAAGAGTTGCCAAAACAGTCCTGAACACAACAACATCCCTGTTGAGGTGAAAACAGGAACGAGAGAAAGAGAGAGAGAGGAATAAAAGGACAACATGTTGAGGAAACGTTGCACTAAGAGTGTGAAAAACAATATCTTTGGTCCTAATGGGAATCAAACCACAACCTTGATGCAACCATCATACTCCACCAACAAAAACAGACATACTTGGTTAAAAACAAAACCTGTTCCGACAGGTATGGCACCAAAAAAACACAGTGCAACACCAGAAAACAACCATATCATAAAAATACAGTCATTTTCTGAAGTTAATACACGTTTTCTAGCATTAGTTTGACGTTAAATCATGTATAGTTTTGGCCGTTTAATGCTTAATAAAGGCTTTTTGCAATTTAAATATAATTTCCTGATAATAATAATATATATAATTAGATACATAGAGTGATATAAGCTGTACTTTTAGTGAGTACAGGTGCTTATAGATATTACACAGATGACATATTCTTTCCACATTTCTGTCATTTAACGAACAAATCTATACAAAATGTAGAACCAATACTTCTTTTTCTTTTCTCACTAATTGTACCTAATACTAAAAATACATTTGCAGCATCAAACCAGAGTTTAACAGTTTCATCTATTAAATTAAAAAGAAATATATTTGTGCAATTATAATAATTTTGCTAATTTATTTGATTAGTCTTTGTGAGTAACCTTTTTTATTGCTTTAAAAACTATTTACGCTTTGTGGTTACAGGTTTTTAATGTTATTTTATACCAAACATGAAACTCCATCATTTATTTTTGTAATTTTATTGATATTTTCATGCATTAGAAATATACAGAAAAAATCTGTTTTTAAAAATTGTAAAAATTGCATAAATGCACATTTTTTTTTTTTCAGTGGTTAAATGATCTGTATGTCCAGCTCGCTCACCTGTGTTCTGTTCTGCTTGGCTCAGGTTCAGGGAGGTGATGCAGGCCAACGAGCCCGAGGCCAACGAGGTGCCCGGCCTTTTCCGCTCCGTCCTCCTGGAGGCTCTGGACCACCTGAAGGAGGAGCAGGAGGCGCAGCGACTCGCCCGCCAGTGGAACAACAAACGTGCCATGAGCATGTCCCTCGTGAACTTCAGGTCCCGGATCAAGATCAACCCGTTCGGGAGCACGGTGGGCCTGGCCACCGCTGCAGCCGAGGGGGCGGGGCTCAGCGACCTCAAAACGGTGTCGGAGGACGTGGAGAAAGGGATGGACCGGGAGAGGGTGTGGAGCATGCCCGACTTCAGATACAAAGGACCCAGCAGCAGCAGCAGCAAGGTGGTCTGATGCAGCGTTCACAGGCCTGAGCTGAAAGTGGGACGTTTCAGTGGGACGAATGCTGATTTCCAGGACAGTATTTCCACCTTGCACGAGGCAAACGGGGACGAATCCCTTCATCCTCCTGATTTTCCAGTACAAAACCACTCAGCATTAGATCCTGCTTCCCCTTATCACCCGACAGGGTAAACGTCAGGTGTTTTACTGGTGTTCTACACACTGACAACAGTTTTTCAGTACTTGAGGTTTTATCACCTCTTGCAGTGATGCCTCTGTTTTGTAGAGATTTGGCATCTAAGCACTGATAATAATTTATACAATTTACTTTCTTGTTGCAGGAGAAAATGGCTGTTAGATGAGATTTTAAAAGCGCCTGTGAGGTGAACGGTGTTTTACCGGAGTGCGCTTTGCATGAGATTTCTGTGTAAGAGGTTTTAAAAAAACAAATATTTCACTGGAACGTCATTCACGCGGTGAATCATGCTCTCCCTCCCAACGGCGCACAAGGACTCAGCAGCAGCACAATTCATCATCCAAGGTCAGCGGACTGAAAGCTTTTCTCCCGCGCTCGCTGTTTGCGAGAGGGAGTCATGAAAGAAACAAAGCGGAGAAATAATCAATAATAAATTTTGCCAGATGCTTTTAAATGAAACGTCTCAGAGTAAAATCTTTCCAGCAGTTTAATTGCTGCATTTGTTCCATTTGTCACACAACAAAATACAGTACACGACAAAGTTGTTCCATCATCCATAGAAACCTTTTAACTGGTTCGACACAAGGGAGGACTAACAGTGATAGCGTTTTATATCTCAGCTTAGCCAAATGACTGAAATGGAAACAAATTTTAATGACAGAACTTTGGAGAATAAATGCCGTCAATAAAGCTGTCAGTAATTATCCAACGATTAATTCAACTCTCATTTCAGCAAAATATACACATTAGAAATTAGGATTTCAGTACACAGGGGTAACGTTGTGGCTCCCGGGATTTACTGTAGAAAAATAACCCCAAGTTACCCAAGAAGATAAATGTACGGGCATTTCAAAACGTAGTAAGGCTGACATGAATAACTGACACAGCCAGCAGGTAGAGGGAGTATCGACAACTTCAAAGAGGAACGATTTTACACATCGCTGTCCGTTTAGAGATTTGCTGGGCTAGTGTTTGAAAACTAGAACAATCTGAGGGTGAGGTCACCAAACCTTTACAGCCGACTCGTCATTTCTACACGAAGCTCAAAAAACACGCTTCAAACTGAGACCTGTGGTTGGTGATGAAGCTGCTTAATAGGTATTGTTGGCAGATACTAACAAGACAGATGAATGTATGATTAAAGACAATATCTCTGCTTCTGTTGCGTCAGTTTGGACTAATTTCAATCCTTTCTTTTGTTGAGTCTAAATTGGTGGAATACTCTTTTAACGGGGGCGACATGTTCAAACCACAAGCAACACTGAGAAGTCTGTGGCTGGCAGGTAACCAATCTTCATTCCCATATCTTCGTCTACTGCTCGTCACAAACACTTCTTGCATCGCAGTCAGACGAAGCTGAAGAATTGGTCACCTGCACAGCAGCACGCTGGTCTGAACGCAGCTCACGGTGCTGCAGCTCCATCCAGCCCGGTGCTGCCCCTCTGTGGCGACGCAGGTTATATTTATCATCGCTTCCTCAGAAAACTCTTCGTTTTTGTTCTCTCGGAAAGCTGAGTTGTTGTTTCCTGAGTTCTGCTGACGTGTCTGCGTCCGACCAACAGGACCGGCGTCCGCAGCGGCATCACAGGGTAGAGTTCAAGAACTCAAGAAGCTCTGCTCGATTTTTATCCCGCTGTAATAAAACAAGGCGCGCGTGAGCCGAGGCAATAAACAGCCTGAAACCGGGTCACTTATTCAACAGCATGAAGGCGACTTTACCTGCTTGTCTTTCTTTGACTTCTTTACTTTCATCTTGATCTTCTTCCCTGAAATCATACTGTACTTTCCTTTTTTTCGGTCCTTCAAGTACTGAAAGAAAAACAAATTCACATTTAAAGGGGATACAGTAAAAAAAATAAACAAAAATATTAAAAAGATGTTGAATAGCAAAGTTACATAATTAACCTGTGACAAGAACTTTAACTTCCAAGAAAGAGTACAGATAAACTGAACAAAAGAATCACAGCGATGGATGTAAACGTGTGCAGACATGACTACTAATATTTACATCATACTACCAGGCATAGACTGACTAACACTCTCAAAAATGTTTTAAAATGATGAATACAACTACTTGTTACTAATTGCCATTAACTATTTAGTTGTTCCCACTTTAAAGAAGAGACAGTTGATGCTGGTCTTAGACAGTAATGTTGGAATTTAACAATCAAATACACAATTCTAAGGTACAAACACATTTTCTAGGATACAATTTAATGCTATAGAAGCTAGATGAACATGAGTATGAAACATGAACAGACTGTCACTGAATGTTTTGCTACCTTGGAGATCTGAACAGGTCCCGAGTTTTCCTCTCCTCCTTTTGCTTTCTTGTCTTTTTTACGTTTATGCCGCTTCTCTTTCTTCCCTTTCTGGTTCACAACACAACATGAGCAAAAATTAGTTTTCTGTGAGAGATGAAAAAACAAAAAAACAGAGAAGCTAAACATGTAGGAAATTACCTTTTTGTGTTTTTCCTTTTTCCTTTTCTTGGACTGCTTTCTGGATTTACTTCGAGAGTCTAAAAAAAAAAGCAAAAACAACAAACTGAGTCAAATCTAATCACTGATGTTTAGTACTGTGATTACAAAAAAAAAAAAAGTAGGACAAATTTATAACAACAAAACAAATTAAAAAAAAAAGATTCTGGATTAAATTAATCCGATTGTAAATAAAGTCTACAAAGGTCATGAAATCTACCTTTACTGCTGGAGCTACTCCGACTGCGGCTGGACGAGTGTGATGAACTTGAAGACGATGAAGAGGAGGAAGAGGACGATGAGGAAGATGAAGACGACGACGATGAACTGGAAGACGATGATGAAGAAGATCGACTCCGGCTGCGTTTCCGTTTCCTTTTCTCTCGTCCTAAAAGATACAAAGACAGTTTTAGTGAATGAATAAATAGATTTAGTATCATACGTTCACATTTACATACAGCCTGAATACACCTGCACAATAAACTAATATAAGCTAGATTTAGGGGGACACATAGGAATAAGACACAACCTGGCTGTGCAAATGCAACTTCAACACTAAAGTTAAATATAGATCAGTTATAACACCCACTTACAACATTGCACTTATTAATGCTAAACGCTTCTATATACATGATAGCTGAAAGGATATAGTTCGTAGATACAGCTGCATGTACATTGAAATAGCCACAATTTTATATATCTGGTTTGCATGAGAGGCATGAATCTGTTTTATTATAGTGTAGAGTGAAAAACATGGTAAGTGAATCCTGATTTGAACTCTCTATAGCAAATATGAGCTAATGGGACCTTAGACTTTCTGTAATTCTACAGCAAAAGTGGATCATTCATCAGTATTTTTTAAAGATCAGAAACAAGAAAATGCAATTCAACTATTTGCAGATTTTGGTTTAAAAACTAGTTGACTAATAAAATAATGAAAAAGTAATGTGAAAACTGGTAGTAAGAAGTTTCTGTGAGCTGACATTTTATCTTATGTGACGTCTAAAATGCAATAAGTCAACACGCTTGCCTCTGCTCCTTGATCTCCTCCGCTCGTCTGTTCTGGAAGTGGAGCTCGACACTCTGCACTCTGCTTTCGTCGACTGGAAACACAAAGACATGTTTATTGTTTGTTTGTGTGTGTGTGCGTCCCAGATGCGACAGGAAACAGGTTTTCATTGGGATCTGATCTGAGGTCCTGGAAGAGGTGTTGTTTTCAAAAAGTCCATTCAAAGAGTTAAAACAGTTCCTCCCAGCTCATATATGTCACAGCTGTTTTTACCTGGGTCACAATACCCAGCTGAGGTAATGGCAAACACATATCTTTCCGAACTCTGAGCGTATAATTGTGACGAAAGAAATGTTCTCTGATCAGACAGACGTTTACAAGCCAGGGCTGCACAATTTAACATTTCAGCGTTGACACTGGGTTGTGTGTGTGTGTGTGTGTGTTTAATAGTCACATAGTTGGAAGTGCATTGTACAGTATAAAAATGAACTCAAACACATCAGGTTGCAATGTCGCATGATGTCCAAAAACAGGCACTGTATTTGTTAAGCCGTTTAAATCAGCAGCACAAAGCTCTGTATGATGAGTGCAAAGTCAGATCTGAATGCCGTTCAAAAGGTTTTTTAAATTGTCAGATGCCCTGCTGGTGTTACACCCTATGTGGGAGGGTTCCCAACAACAACAGAAAGATTTCACAGTAAACAGTATTTTATAAGCGTTTTTAAAAAATGTGGGTCTTATTTTCTATGCAGACAAAATCACAACAATCATTCCAGAATGATTAGTTATTTCCAAATCGTTATTCAAGTCCTCTATACTTTAATGAATCAATATAAATGACAGAATAAGAAAATATAACAATGTCAGTTTTTGTTTGATACGTCCAATGTTCTTGTTTATACTTCAACTTAATACATCTGTTTGTGGACGTTCTTTTGTCTCATTTGCAGTTATCCTATGGAGTATAATCTTTAAACAATAACCCCCAAGAATGAAACTGAAAGTCATTTCGACGCTTTACTAACATTACAATCACAATCTAGCGGCTTCAATCACTTTTTGGCAGCATTATATGAGAGGAACCGGCCCTTTAAAGTCTTTACTACCTTTAAAAATAACTGGATTGCTTATAATTTAGTGCATGGCGCAGGACAACATGGAAATACATGAGGATAAAATGCAAAAGAGATCATTTCTGTATCACTGGTTGACCAGATGAAAGCAGCTGCAGACGTGTTATAAGCAACAACACGCACAACGTGATAAACACCCGGCGGAAGGAGATCAGCTCTTGGCAGACGATTCGTTTTATTGGCAGGACGTCTGTTTTACTGAGAAGCTTATTGTTTGCAGACTCGCTAATCGTCCTTTCTGTGGCGCTTACACTAACAGCGCTGCGTTCACTAAGCTAAAGCTAAAACGCGCTACAAACTATGAAATAAAAACCACCAGAGTGGGTAAAATAAGAGCTTCTGTACTCACCATGGCGAAGGAAGAATGCAGCCGATAAACCGTGTATAAACCGACACCACAACTACAAGAAAAGATGGTGTAAATGATCTATTTATTCGCTGTTTTCTCCGGTAAAATAGCACTAGTTAGCGATCTGGGGAGACATTTTGTTTCCCATGATGCACCGCGACGAGACGCTTTCAAAACAAGGGCGCGACAACAGCAGGCTGTCGTCACAGCGCCACCCGCGGCCGACAAGAGAACATACAGTCAACGGCGTCCGCTGCGGTTTTTACTTAAACAAGTAAGTTCACGTTTTAAACAAGACGATATTTATACACGTAGCAGCTGATAGCGATTTTTGCAAACATGTTTAATATTTATCTGCCTTCTAAAGCTGCTAATCTCAAGACTGCAGCTGTCAGACTGAGCTAGCTTTAAAGCTAACGCTGTCAAATACAACAACCCACCAATCAGAATGACTTTCCTGGTGTTAAATGGCTGACAGGAAGCTAACACAGCCAACTAAAAGCTTTATTTAGTAGTGTGCAGTAGTTTTTATCAGCAGGTAAAATTTGAATAATAAATAAATTAAAAAAATGCTAAAATTTTCACTTTTCATCCATAGACATGAGGGTTCATGTAGAAACCTCCACAGACATCCATGTGCAGCCCAACATTTGTCCACACCACAAGAGCAATAGCGCTTGGCAGTCGTGTGCATCTGTAGAAAAGACAGACACCTGTTGTGCATGAGTCCTCCAAGCAGTCTCCTGTGGACTAGAAAAGTATAATAACAACTATACGAGGTGTGTCAGAAAAGTTCCAGGACTGGTGTCACAGAAGATCTTTTTCAAATCCAAACTACCAGTTTTCCCCTTTAGACGATCAACCAGCACGTCTAAAAAGAGATCCTGCGGCGTTTGCTTCGTTCCAGAAGAGGCCAGAGTTGTGTCAGGACAAGTCGTGGCTGCTTCACCATGACAACCTGCTCACAGCGCCCTGAGCATCCCACAGGTCCTGGCTGAGAAGAACATCTCCGTGCTGGAGCAACCTCCCTACTCACCCCACCTGGCTCCGTGGGGTTGTTTCCTCTTCCCCAAGCTCAAGGGGTGATCAAGGGGACCCATTTAGAAGACGTGGATGACATCAAGATGGCTGTGACGACAGAGCTGAGAGGATCCTGGAAGAATCCTTCCAGGAGTGCATGGCGGCGTGAGGAGAAGGCTGGAGAAGTGGGTCGGACTACAGGAGGATTACTTGGAAGAGGAACACTGGTAGTTTGGATTTGAAGTATATCTTTTGTGACACCAATCCTGGACCTTTTCTGACACACCTCGTACGTCACTGGTGTCCAAGTGGTCTGTCTCATTGGGAAAAGTCTAAAAACTTTTTCTAAAAACAAAACTTATCGTCTCTTCTGCAAATGAGTATAATCAAGGCTTCTGGAACTGATCATGGGACTTTAGGCATTTTCATTCTTCCACAGAATTGGGTTCCAGTTCTAACTTGTTTTGCTAAATTAGTCCAATATTATGAGCTGCCATTGTGTAGAGTAGTTTTACAGAGTTCGAGGAGTCACAGGTGAGCTGGTGTGCTTGAGAATGGGGAGGTCTGGATGGAGAGAGGGGAGGAGACTTCATCTAAGCCATATTAATGCAGAAAGATGGAACAACGTCTTATATATGCAACCTTGATACATAGAGTTGAGTTTTTAGAGGAAGTTTAGTCTTTACTAATCAGCACTAGATAGATCGAATGATGTAACTCTGGTATTCATTAATTACTTCTGATAAAACTGTGCCAAGTTACGGTCAAATAAGTCAGAAAACTAATGATTCTGTGAATATTTAAGCTTATAGATTGTTGTTGATGTCGCAGCGTTGCTTCAGAGACGACCACATAAACAGTAGCATTGTACAAAAACATATTTATTATGACAGTATTAGTATATTATACAAATAAGAGCTTACACTCACTGTATAAAAATACAAAATCTTGATGCATTTCAGTGTTCTGGGCTTCCTAAATCATTTATCAAAGCAGAATATCATCGATTAACTCTTTGTGTAGTCAGTTTCATCCATAGCTCTCAGTCCTGTGCTTTGATGTTAAACACAGAATAAAACTGTCCTCTGGCACATCACCACCTTACGGTTAAAAACAATAATCAGAGGACAAAGTGAGGTTTAATCCTATAGAATATGCATGAGGTGTGCTGCAGTTGTGACGGCTCGAAAGTCAAATCTAACAGTAAAACACCATCAGCAGAAACAGGTACAAAACCAGCAGATAATGGCACGGCGGGAACGGTGAAAACATCTTATTGCCAGATTGCTATGCAGATGTCTGTTAAGTTCTTTGACAAAAAAACCTTCAGTACCAGCTGCTGCTTTTTAGTTTCGATAAAACTGACCTTGTCAAACCATCTAAGAACTAAACTGTATGTACATGTAAGAATACGTTTGCCGTAAATAGAAGACTGAGTAAAACACAAGCGCCGGCGTGCCAGTCGAATGCTAAATTGTACAGCTGTCATCAGAGGGATAGAAAATGTTTGGAAGGAGTACAAGACAAGACACCAAGGTTTATTAGTTACAGGAACGTTACGCGACTATCCCTGCCCATGTCAGAGTGAAGAGCTGCCGCTTTCACGCAGTCCCGACTCTGACTCCTTGCAGAAGGACTGGGCTCCAGTGAGGTAAAGCGAAGCAGCAGATCAAAGCCGGGTTTAACTCCTCGCTTTGACCTGAGCTTCAGCAGAAATGCATAAGTCAGGTGTAAGGAAATGTACGAGGAAAAATACAAACTATACTAATATCTTAAAAAAGAAACAAACATGCTTTTTATAGTATAAAATGACATAAAGAAAAGCTTATACAAGTAATCAGCAGTGAAGCTGTGGAGTGGCCCACTGTGTTTTGTACACTCTAGAAGTAATTCAAGGCGCCTATTCCCACTACTGAATTAAACGCACGGTTGCAAAATATAGACGCATTTTTTAAAGTTGCAAACATTATTCTGATTGGTGGTGTTGACATAATAATGGTGGTAATTGCATCAACTTATTATTTTGTGTAATTTAAACTTAAACTTGATCATTAGTTGATTTAAAACTGAATACAAGTGAAAGAAACTTAATGAAATTAGCTTCCTTTTTCATCACCTTGAGTTCAGGATTTTGAGTTTCCTCCTCTGTCTTTAACATACCTGGACAGTTTCAGATTAGACTAAATATCTCAGACCGTGGAGGATAAGTTTATTCCTCTAACTCAGTGTAGTTTGCTGGTTGAACATAATTTCCTTAGCATTACTCAAAAAGAGCAGCAGCAGTACACTAGTTCCTCTAGCTGAGCTCAAACATTTGTTTTAGAGTGTGCAGTGGTTCATGAATGTTGGAGATTATTAAAACTTTCAGTGTAAAAAAATCCCTGAAGTTTAAGGTTCTTTCTCTGTGTGTAAATTGGCTTCAACACATCTTTATATAATCACTCGTGTATGTTTTTTAGCCTCTAATGTGTAAATCTTTTCGTGCCCGTCCTAATTACAAATTTAAACCACTTGAAAATATCCTATTTGCAGATAATTTAGTTTTTCACAAAATGGACGAAGGTTTCCATTTTTTAAAAGCCTATTTTTTAAAATGAAATTAATAAAACTGACAAATTGTTACACAGTGCTGCTATTAATAATCCTTCATTTGTGTCTACATGGACAGGAGGCAGATATTTAAGCTTCTGCTTTGTTCTTTGAGTGATCTGCATGAGCCAAGCTCTCCTCGTTCTCTTCCTCCTCCTCAGGAACCTGCAAAACATGTAATCTAAGTTATTTGTGTGCAGCATGATGACGTAGTTCTAAACAAAATGTGCATAAATGATACTTTACTGGCTGACTTACAGCGGAGTTTGCCAACAGAGAGTTTAAATAAACAAGATAAATCAATTAAAAGCTGTTCAATATCATTTGGATTATATTAATGCCAGAAAGCCCATCTATTTGATTCAATCCTCAAACCACTCATTTAATAACTTAAACAAACATGGGATCTTCTACGTCTGCCACTTGTGATGCTCGACAGTCAGAGGCCAGAGATCATATTTATGAGGAACGGGATTTCCTACCTCCCAGTAAATAGAGTCGTCGAAGCAGTTCTGGTCTGGAGGCTGTCCCCAGATCGGCAGCTTCATTATTAAACCTGCAAGAAGAAAATGAATTGTTTGATCATTCAGATGTTGCCCTTTTTGTGAAATCACGAACTCTTTCCTATCAAGCGATGACCTCAGAAATTTCACAGTCGTGTGTCACGTTTCGCTCACCTGTCACAACACCTCCAACCAGAGCGAAGCCGAGAGACGAAGCCAACGCGGCAGCTTGCATGGCAGCGCTACCGCTGAACAGGAGGAGAGGAGGGGAGACAGGATAGTTAGAGCTGATGTTTAAACGAAGCAGCAAAATACTTCGAAACTACATGCGATACTCCTGCGTGTGCATATGTGTTCATATATGTAAGATCTGTGATGAGTGAGATTGCCATTACTTACTCTTTCTTCCCCAAAGCCACAGCCACAATACCAGCCAGGCCGCCCAGGATGCCGGGCATGCCGTGCAGATTGTGGACACCGCAGGTATCCTGGATACCCAGGCTGGATGCCAGGATGGGCTGCAGAGGAGGGGGAAAAAATGTCTGTTAGCAACCAACGGGCTTTCCTATTAGAAGGTGAAACATGCATTTTGGTTTTGAAATTGGCCTTGAGGTCCAGTCCTCATATTGTCTCAATATCCACGGCTCCATATATACAGATGTAGAAACTTAAAGTCGTCCTCAGATGTATTCATAGCCTCCCATTAAAGAAGAAAGAAAACAGCTGTCACTGAAATAAGCTGAAATTGACAAAAGTGATAATAAATAAAAATTTAATGAACATCATGACGTTGCTTTTGAATCGTGGTTCAACAGAAATATTAAAAAAACAAAACAAAAACAACAAGCATGATGGGACCCGTAAACTAATATTTAGCTGAACAACCCTTTGAGCCAATCAGGTGTTTTCTGTGACTCTCAGTCAGACTTCTGCACCTGTTGACAGGTGTTTGGATTTCACTGCTCATCAGCAAAGTGCTCTCATTTGTCCGGGACAGTTTTGTTTTTGTTTTGTTTTTTTTTATTATTCTTTTCAACCACAATTCAAAAGAAACGTCTTGTTTCACTAAATTTTAATTTAGCAAATTTTTCTTCATTATTACTTTTTTCAGTTTCCAGTTATTTCAGTGACTGTTGTGAATTTTACCTTTTCTTTAATGGAAGGGGATGAATACTTTTGCGGACGACTGTATGTCTATTATATAATTTTTAACTGATAGTCAGGTATCAAGTGTAATTAATTTATTTAATAACTGGTCTGTCTATGCTTTCCATTAATTTATCAGTCTATAAATTAACAGTCGACAGCGTAAAATGTCCATCACATCTTGTTGGAGATGTTTTTTGTTTTTTTTAAAATTTTGGCTAACCAACAGCCGTGTACCCAGCAATGTTCAATTTGCTTTCTGAGAAAAACAGAAGATATCCACATTAAAGACGCTAAGCTGTTGCCATTGTTTAACGCAGCAGTATTAATCAGTTATCAGTTGTTAACCCGTTCTACCTTGGAGGTCTCTGCACCGGACTGTATCTGTGTAATGCAACACGCCACCATGTTTGGAAGCTTGCACACTGAATGAAGAGGCCTCCTTCATACCGGCTGCAGTCGAGAATATTTAGAACAGGTTCAATAACACCAGTGCCACTGACTCATTGTTGTAATGCTGTTATTCACTCTCTCGTTTTCCAGATTTGATTTGGTGGATATAAAACAGCAAGTCTTTGCTTTAGTTTTTCAAATCTCACTCTGGTGTAGTGATGGGGACCAAATTCTGTCCAGTGTCTCTTATCCATAGAGCCTGAGGTTGTTCGTTTTCTAATCACGGCTGTAAAGACTGACTAAATTTGGAGATTGATTGCTTAATTTTCGCCTTTGCTTTTCTCTACTCACACTCAGGAACTTGAAGCCCAGGGTGGAGATGATGCCAGCGATGAATCCAATCAGCATGGCCCCGAACGGCCCGATGTTCATGTCGGCACATGTTCCCACGGCAACGCCACCAGCCAAGGTGGCGTTCTGAATGTGCACCTGTAGAGGATGAAGATAGAAAAGCAGGTATTTGACTGAGTCTGTGTTTTTAAATACGGCAAAGTGCGGTATTGTAAGTATTAGAGGAAAGTCCCCCGACCATGTCCAGTTTTCCTTTGTGCTCCACGAGGCTGGAGATGGCGTAGGCAGAGAGCACACAGGCAGCCAGGGAGAGGTAGGTGTTGATCACAGCGGTGAGCTGGGTGTAACCTGGATCAGCGATGGCCGAGTTAAAGCTGGGCCAGAACATCCACAGGAAGACGGTTCCTGTAGAGGAGGGAAGTAAAAAAAATACATTTTCTTAGTCGCATTTCTGTCAAATCACTCTGCATGTTAGCTAATGTTTACACCAAACTTTACCAAACAAAAGTGACACACAGTTCAAATGAGTTTAACGGTGCATGAATGTTTGTGTCCACTAGGTGGCACAAGTTGTACACATGCAGGATGACCCATGGAGGGAAAATTAAAACCAAACGGAGCACATTACTGCTGCTGTAAACACACGATTAATATATTAAATTACTTTAAAGTGTTGCCGTCTCTTACCAATCATAGCAAACATATCCGAGTGATAAACAGATCCGTCGTTCTCATGTCCGTTTCTCAAACCTGGTCGGTAAAGCACACGAGCCACCGCCAAGCCAAAGTAAGCCCCGAAAGCATGGATGATCATCGATGCTCCCACATCATTAGCCTGTCAAAGAAAAGGCAGAACAGACACACGACGGCGTTGGATAACTCTCAATTAACACAGTGTGATTTACTACATCTCCATGTGCATGTGTCACAGTGGAACTCACTTTTAAAGAGTTAGCCACCAGATGCTCATTGACGGAGAAGAGGGTGATCTCCAGGATGGTCATGATGAGGAGCTGCACAGGGCTGGTTTTACCCAGAACGGCACCGAAGGAGATCAGGACCGTAGCTGTGCTGAAGTCTGCGTTGATTATTCTGCGTGAGAGGGAAGAAAACAAGTCAAGAGAAGGACCCAAATAACCCTAATCCAGAACACAAAGTGATCTACCAGAGCTCCTCAGCAGCAAACAGGACAAGTTGTTAAGCATCAACTCATGGGTGCTCCAAAGTGCTCACCAAGCACTGATTTCATGTTTTTTTTGTTTGTTTTCTGCACAATCAATGAAGATATTGGATGAGTGAAAACTATTGATGCCACTATTTTTAATACCATCCATGTAAAAATCCCAGTTCTGTATGTTTAACTAGAAACATGAGAACCATCAGTGAAGTCAGCCTTACTTAAAGATGTCGATTTTGATCTTGCCGTCATCCAGATGCCAGATGCCCTGCATGAGGAGGCCCCACTGCAGGCCGAAGGCAGCCAGGAGCAAGTTGACGCCCACGCTGCTGAACCCGTATCTCTTGAGGAACGTCATCAGGAAGCCGAAGCCGATGAAGATCATGACGTGGACGTCCTGAAACACTGTAGACATGAAAATGGAGGTTAGTTCTGCTGCAGATTCATTGACAGGGTGCTTGTTTGTGGTGGCGGTCCCGCTTTAGACTCACTTTGAATGTGGACATGAAGTTAAATCACATAATTTGCTCTCCACTGTGATATTCTTTTGACTTTGTAGTTTAAAGGACTTATTGAGCAGTTAGTGAACTTCACGGGAGCCATTTCCTTCGACAGGGGCTGTATTGTCAGGCGTGACCTGTTAGCTGGAAAAGCAATTCAATCACACTGTGAATGGCATTCTGGCAGAAATCCCCTGCTGTTCCTGTTGGGTTGTGCTGTTTTTCTATTAAGTGCATATGATCTTAATAAGTTTAAACTTATGAAGTCTCAGGGGGGAGAGGACGCTCGGTGCACTCTTATCTCTTTGTTTCAGCCAAGACTCACAAAGACAGAAGTGAAGTTTCATTATACAGACGTGGTGTTTTCACTGTGTTCTCAAAAATAAGGAACACAAAAACTGTGAGGTCGTTAATCTGAATTAAGGCTGGGTGTTCTTGAGGGGAATTACGTAGAACTGGACACTCCCTCAGAGAGTCATTGTCAGGGCAGGACGTGCGACTTCTGTTGCCTTTAAGCTTGATATGATGAGCTTCTCATGTGGAAAAGGCATCAAGGTGGAGATATGGGCAGGCAGGGAAACAATAGACTTTATTTCCTTAGTTTATAATGAGCATGTAGCTATTGTCTGGCCAGCACACACTTACTTTTGCTATTGAAAAGGCAGTCTTCTGCTGTTCCGCCGCAGGCTTAAAGAGGCGCTTTGATGATCTGACAAGTATTTTTAGTCTTTTAATGCGAGTTGTCAGTTATCCTCGTACTGTCTGAAAGTGAAAAGATCTGCCCATTAGCACCTCTGAAGCGCTCTAATTGAAATATTATATCTCGTTCGCTTAATTGCTGCAGTCTAGTCTTCTCCGTGAAGTTGCCAGGCAACCAGATAAAGCTCCAGGAAGTTACTGCGCCCGGCAGAGAAGTAGTTTGCATAAAACCAGTTAAACACTGAGCTTTAAAGATTCTGTTTAGAACAGAATCGGACTAGCTGAGTCTTGTAGAATGGTCTGGCTGCACCTCGTCTTCATTCTGCTGATACAACAGTCTGGCTTGTTTCTTTAAATCAATCGTAATTGTGTCGGGCAGAGCTAAGAAAAGAAGGGTCACCTCAAAGTGGAAGGTTTCCTGTAGTGAAGTGAAGGTTGAAAACAGTAACGCGCAGATAGTAGAATTGGGAGGAGAAAGTTGTGCGAAACATGCGGCCTATCGCAGGTTTTTACCCGCAATCTACATCCGGTGAGTCAGGCTATGCTAAGCTAAGCTAACCCTTAACACTATCGTGTTTTACATGTTAAATTATTATTACTCTTTGATTTTTTTTTTTTTTTTACAAAAACAAATCAAGCGTAGCCCGAGGTGAAAAAGCTCAAGTCTTTAGTGCATTTGAAGTATTTACAGCCAAACTCCTACACTCTGTTTATTTCAGAGTGCATTTACATAATACACAGAAAATCATGCAAGCACCTGCTTAAACGCAGCAGCTTTTGAAAGATAATGATGAGGGCGATTAAATTCATCCACACAGAGTTTCGTAAACCTTATCTGCATATAGAGCGTGTCAGCACATTTTTGGTAAACACACTTATAATCCACTTTTGTGAGGAGTTTCTATCTGTGCTTTAAAACCAGAATGCATAAACAAGTTGAATGTGATCTGAGATACTTTCAAACAGTTTTTACTGGGAATATCTGTAGTCAGTATAATCCGATTTAAACACCCTGTATTGATTCAACTAGATCAGGTTAAAAGTCCCGAGGTTCATCGTCTTATCTCATCCTATCAGTCTAATGATAATAATTAGTGGCAGCGATCAGCGTTCTGACCACTGATGTGTGCAGCTGAAGTGTGGATGTCTGACTGGGCATACGTCCACGGAGCCGTTTTTAAGGAAACCTGTTTGCCCCCTCGCCTTACTTTCTGAACCCCTCTCCGTTTCTCAGCAGGGTGACTCAGACCTGCTTCCCTCTCGGTGAGCAGTGGGTCGAGGATGGGGATGAGATAAAGTTGGAAAGCAGCCACGATGGCTGGCACCACGCCCAGATGTTAGGTAACGTGTAATCTTCTGAAGAATTGGGTGAGCCGAGACAAGAGAGAATCGCCCCCCGGGAGCTACTGTAGTGAAGAAGTGATGCAACCAGTGCACAAAGATGAATTAAGTTTTTCAAACGCCGGAGCAACGAATTTCCTCTCCTTTGATGTTTTCATTCTGGATATGAACTCTCGTTTAAGATGAAATTACTCACTTAGAGTTGTAATTAGAACCTTCTGCAGTGTTTTGTCAAACCAGACAACCAGAATTTGCTTCGGTCACTTCCATGTAAAAATGTTTCTTACTGATTTGCTCCGCGATGATAAAGCTGCTGTAGCTTTTACTCGCTCTAGCGCACATTACTCTGCTTATTTGTCTTGCTTTGAACCTATAATTACAGATGTCTGGTATGCATTAGATAGTGAACGTCTGCATGCAGCTGCATAGCTCATGCTTTTTTACGTCACATTTTAAATGGTCCCAGTTATTTAGAATTGCTAAATTTATTCCCAACTTTTCCCAAAAGCTGATTTGCAGCCGTTTGTCCCTTAACACTTCATAATGGCAGTTTTTCTGATAAATCTTTGGCTTATCTGTTTTCTATTTTGATGAATAAAAATGTAATTTTAAGAATTTTTAGCAGGATTTTATGCACAAAAAAAAAATCATAGTAGAGTGTGTAGAGTGTGAAAGAAATAAAAATAATGAAGTTTCATAGAATGCTTTTGTGCAAGCATGTGGCTGAAGCGTTGCATCTGAACCGAAAGATTCGCTCGGCCTTGATGTCGAGCTAATCTCTTTTGGTCACAACTGCCCCGCCCAATCGTGAGCAGAAATTCACACAGTAGTATCAGTTAAAAAGTCTGTGGCTACCTTAGAGCAGATAAGATGCAAAGATGCCGCTTAACTGTACAAACCTTATTAAATGCTCACTTAAAATACCCAAACTCCACCAACAACAACACTTGGGGAAATTGTGCTTTTAAATGCCACACAAAACCGCATTTTTCTACCCCAACGACCAACTGCCCGTGCCCTTTATTACCTCTGCTGGACGCAGTAATTCAAATCACATGTGACCTCCTCTGTATGAGATCTGACACTTTTCCCTGCAGGATCTTCTCGACTCCTCAGCTGCATGTGTTTGAATAGACTTTGTGACAGATAAGAATGCAACCCCATGACTCCTCTTATTGCATTCAGCAGACCTGCTCTGAAAACAACCCCCTAAACTCTTCTATTTCTGTTTGCAAGTAATTGGAAAATGACACACGGTAAACAGGATTCACATTGCTCCAGTGAGAAACGGCAGGATTCTCAGATCACTCAACACCTCAGAGTTTAAAAATAAAGAACCAGAGCTTTAACATTCTACAGAAATAATCTTCACTTTTAAGATTTTCCTACTGAAAACTCAACAAACTAATTTCAGTGTCACGTATATTTTCTGGTTTGGGGGAGAATTTTTTTTGCAAATTAGCAAGTCGCAGATGTTAGAACCAAAAGATAGAAAACTTGAGAATCAATATTTAAAGCTCTTCAAAAGTAGTCGAGACACCAAACATTGAGGCATTCAGCGGCAGAGCATCCCTCAGCATGCAGCCTCAGGTAGACTTACTGGGGTAGAGTTCCATAGGCTGCTTCTCATGGTGAGTATCATTGGGTAGCCCTTGCCCGTGCCCGTGTCCGTGACCTTTCCCATCATCGTAGTCCACAAACACTGCAAACAGGACGATGGTGATAATCTCAAAAGTCAAGGCCAAGATGGGGAACTTCAACCTCATGTTGGTGGCGTACGCAGGCATCCTGAGACCAACTCTGGCTTTATCTCTCACACAGTCACAGTCAGACTCACCAACTCTGTCTGTCAGTCTGTCCCTCCCTATCTGTCTTTTTTAAGGGCAGTGCTGTGTGAAGGGAGGGAAGAAAGCAGCGTCTGGTTTTAAACTGATGCAGGTTTCGTGGTGACCAATGACGGGGCAGATAAGTGGGGCCTCGGCGGTCAACACCCCCCTACATGCTCACGAGGGATGGGTTTCCTCAGAGGGGACAAAGCAAAACATAAACATAATGACACCCGGCCAGCAAGCGGACATGAGAGAAAGACTTAATGACTTCTCCTTCCCACTCATTCTTCACTGTCAGAGTTATGTTTGTTGACTTCAGAATGATCCTTTAAATGCCTTCAACTACAGAAGCAAAGATGTAAACACAGGGAGGGATTCATATTGTTTACATCTGTTAGTATAAATTAGCTTTCACTTTCCTTCATCCGCTCTGCTGAACATTGTTCCGCTTTTTCAGTGAAGATGACTGTTCCCTTGATATTTAACAAGTTTTGCTGTTTCGTTGGCTGACACACCTGCAGGTTCAAATACATTACTTTAAGATACCCCCGCTGTGAATCGTGGACAAAGTACAACCCTAAGTCCTGCATTTAGGTGAAATTACAAGAGTGTTATCATCAAAATAAATCAAAAGTAATGCTCTCTTATTCACCCTCATATAGGGATAATAGGATAACTTTATTATTCCTAAAGTATAGTAAACACAAAATTAGAATAAAAATCTAAGTAAAGATAATAATAAGGCCTATGTACACCTTTGACATGTACAGATATGGAATGATGGATAACTCTACCCATGCTCTATGAACACATGGTGAGTAAAATCGAACTTAAGAAGTTCTAAAAAGTCATAGTTTTACACGTTATTGCACTTGATCACTTTAGTAGCTGCTCGAGGTCGAGCTAACTGTCCGTGTATCTGTTTTCTATGCAATGCAAAGTGTCGATCCTGTGGTTCAAGTGTTTTTAGAGCACACTCGACAACAACCGACGCGATCACATGGAGAACCATAATGCACAAATCAACTAATTTAATAGAAGACATCTCAACAGAAATCAGGACACTGTGGTCGAGCTGCAAAACATTCTCTCTAAATGAAATTATATCAGATTAAACTGTAACGCGACGTTTAAGCCCTCCTTATTTAGCTTTTATAGGCAGTATATAAACATTTAAAAAGTGGTTTATAATGAAGTTTTGAGCAGATGTCTGTTCATCGCTCATGCTTTTGTTTAAACTGTTTATTCTGCTGTGACGCCCAGAAGTGGAGTCTGTTGTACACAAACAAAAAGAGTAATAATATAGTAAAACGCATGTGTTGATATAAATATCTCTGCATTAGAAAAGTTATTGACAAAACACTCTACATTAAACCATTAGAAACATGTTTTATAGCGATATACAGGGACATTATGGTGTGTAATAAACCACATGTTTAGATTATAAAGTCTTATATGAACAAAAAAATACAGTTGTGCATCTAAACAAAACCATGCAGATGAGTAGAAAAAGTGTATATACTCCATTTGCTCATAAATTTATGGTAAATAGTTTCTGTCTACTGTTAATTTAGAGGGCACTGCACAAAGATGAATTGGGTTCAGAATCACTAATAAACCCGTTGGGTGGTGATAATAAAGAGGAATATAACTGATGTGTCAGTAGCTTAATTATAATATCTAAAGTACCAACAGACACCATTTAATAGTGCCAATAGGTGATGCATTAAAGGAAAGCCAGTGTCTTGGTGAGGTGTTTGGTTCAGCTTCTGTGCTCCTCGGCACTGAGTCTCCAAGTCTATGAAAGTATTTTAGAAGGGTTAAATGTTTGAACTGATGGTTGCCCTTTGCCAGTAATTTTCAGCGTGCCTACAGTCCAATTCCCATGCAGCTCTGCAGTGTCTGACACCATCGCTTTTCTAACGCTCCTGGTCAGAGGAAGCATACCCCTGTGCTTGAAATCTCCCACTCCACCTCCACACTCATCGTGGCTTTAGGACATTATGTACTTTATCCAGCTGGAGAAATTCAAGTTAAGTCCCAAAGGGTCAACAAACTCATTTTTATAAGATATGGCACCAGCATGTTTTCAGAACTTCTTTAACCTCACCAGAGTCCCACTAGTGAGACTTACATTGTGTAATATCTGTTATGACCACATGTTTAGGATGCACTGAAGATGCTCAGACGGGGGACAAATTAGGGGGAAACCCAGCGCAGAGGGTCTCAGTGAGGTGTCGGTGCTGCTGGAACAGCTTGGTATTGATTCTCCAAATCTCTGGAACTCCCCTGAAGGGATGAAACATTATTCTATTCCCTTTATTTGGTGATTTGATGATGGTGGTAGAGAGTTCTGTCCAACACACCAGTCCATCGTCTCCCACAGGAGCCCAGCTGGGTTGATGTCTGGTGACTGTGAAGGCCATAGCGTATGATTCACATCATCACATTCAATGACCCCTTGTGCTCTAAGGATAGGGTCACCCCAGAAGAGGCCACTGTCATCAGCATAAAAATGTTCTATCACAGAATGAAGGTGATCAATCAAAACAACTTTGTATTGATTAGCCTTTCAATAACCAGGCCAGAAAAGTACCCCAACAGTATAGCAGAGCCACCAGAACTGGGCAGGTGATAAGATGAGTAAGAAGAAAAGAGTATGTGGAGTTAAAGTTCACACATAAATACAGTGTGTTGTATAAAAAGTAGAAAGTGCAAAAGCAGTGCTCCATTAAAAACTGGGAAAGTCTATGTAAAACTAAATGGTGGAAAGCAGTGGAATATTTTGGTCAGACATTGTAAACAAATGAAGT